GTTGAAAAGAAATAAAAATCAAGCTGAATGTTACGTTAATGTCTTTTCCTGCCTTTTTTTCTTAGCAAATTATGCAGGCCACAAACACGATTTAAGCGCAGTCAAAGTGAAACTGAATAACAACAATGGTACATGGAAATAACAACACGGAAATAAAACCGTGTGCTGATTGCATTTCAACTCGCTAAGGCAAGCTGCCAACTGTGCCAAGCTCCGGTGACCAAAACATGACGAGACAATGCACATAAACACCCCATGCAGCAACACTGTACAATAGCATTTTTCAAGTTTTGATGACTAAATTGCTTAGTGTGGAAAAGCTGCAAAGCTGCTAACAAGATAACACTTTAGCTTTGGTCAAGCACCACTTCAAAGTTCCTGTCTTGCAAGATAAGGAGTTTCCGTTATTTCAAAATCACCACAACATTGGAGAAAGTCCTTAAAGCAACAGATGGGGGGCTTCACCGCCGAACTCAACTGGTGTCCGACGGCTCCAACCTCAGGTGGAAGTGAAGCGTACAATGGGCATGTAATGAAATAAAGGCAAGAAAAAAGTAGCTACACAGACTGTATATAAAATGGATGCAGCCTCCGGGCCTCAAGGTGGAAGTGCTTTAAACCTGCATTCTTTCTAACTGCCAGTAGGTGGCGACTCCTCTGGAGGTAAGAAGACGTTTAATTGTATAATCACCTATTAGATAATGACTCTGATTCTCCTTTGATTTTTCTACCTAGGTAAACATTTTACTAATGAGTTTATGGTCTCAATCTCTAGTTTGAAGACTTTTTTAACTACAGCATGATGTTCGTTTTGTAAATTATGGGCCTATTTAGAGTGAAATGAAAAATAAAGAAGGGCGAGACTGTCTTGTGTACGATTGCATAGTCTCTGGTTTGAAAAGAACAACACTTCAACGGAAAAATACCAGACTCAAGGTGTCAAAGCGGTAGTCCAGAAACCAGCGAGTGACATCACGGTTGCTGCATCTATCCTTTCTATACGGTCTATGCATTGGGAGCTAATGATTTCTCGCAAGCCAGCGTGAAAAAGAAGGCACCTTGGCAACACTTAGCATTGTTTTAATACATTTGCATGTTCTCATCTATCCACATGGGAAATTACTTGAACAGTATATTCAATTTTTAACGACTTCAGTCTCCAGGTAGCAGCCCTTTTGTTCAAACCGTGTGGTTCACACAAACATTGTAGTCAGAAATCTTCTTTAGATTTTATTGGCAGTTACAGACCAACGTAGGTGCATTACCAGAGAAATTATAAGGGAGAGATTCACCTCAATCCTGAATGGAAATATATTCATTTTTACTATCGTAACACCAGAGATATGTTATGATCATCTTGGTTGTAACAGCAGAACCGTGAAGCTAATTGTGTTGTTGCCCTGATTGAAGCACGGTGTTGTAAAACTATAGTAGAAATTTAACCTGTGGGGGAAAAAATGCTTTTTTAACTGTAATCTAATTTCACTGGTGATTTATACATATGCAGCTTTTATGTCTTGATAAGCACTGAAATTGCAGTTATGGCTCTCTCCTCTTTCATTTAGATTGATAGCTGGTCTTATTAGCCCACAATCTGTCTGGAGGCATTACCAAGATATCTGCAAAGTACTGAGCCTATAAGAACTTTGATTGCCATCTGCAAGAATCGCTGAGATTAGACTGCAGTAGCCATGACGACTAGATGTGAGATTTCTAAATGGAACTAACTCATTTTATATCAGTAGGACCCATCCACAGTAACACCTGTTAGACTATCTGATAAAGGCATATTGCCATAGCTATAGCTATGACTGGGGGCTGTAGCTACTGTCATTGCTGTGGTGGTTATAGCTGTAGCCACTGAGGTGACCAGCGGCTTCCTCCAAGGTTACAACATCAGCTGTGGCTGTGATTGCAACAGCACATGTTGTAGGATATCAGCATTGGCCAAGACGATGTTATAAAGCCAGACAGTGCAGCTCAGGATTGCACTTGAAACTTTGTTCATACATGAAAGATGTGCTACGATTTTACTTGTTAAATAGTTAAAAATATATATATATTATTGAAGTTGCACCGGAATCTTTCTGCGTGGAGTCTCCATGTTCTCCCCGTGCAGCGTGGGTTCTCTCCGGGTTCTCCGGCTTCCTCCCACACAGTCCAAAAAACATGTTGAGGTTAATTGGTGATTCTAAATTGTCCGTAGGTGTGAATGTGAGTGTACTTGGTTGTCTGTCTCTAAGTGTAGCCCTGTGATAGACTGGTGACCTGTCCAGGGTGTCCCCTGCCTTCACCCTAAGTCAGCTGGGATAGACTCCAGCCCTCCACGACCCTAGTGAGGATGAAGCGGTGTATAGATACTGGATGGATGGATTATTGAGGTTTTGTTATACATTTTTGTGCATTGCCATCAGAAATACCAATACTATACATTACAACAGCACCAAAAACTGAATACAAAGTTAGTTTTCAACAAGGAGAGAGCATTATAGCCTCGATGAAAACAGGATTTATTGTTGACCTTTTATATTACACTGCATTAGTTAGTAATGTGTTGCTTCCCAAACAGTCATCCACGTGTAGAAAATGGGTTAAAATGTTTTAATTAGGTAGAAAATAAGTGGGTTTTAATCCAGACAGTCAGAAAGGTCTTCAGGGAGTCTAGAAACAGTAGTAAAGCTTCTGTTATTGTTGTGGTCCCCCCTTCAAATTAGCCTCCATTTCTAAGAGGACGCTATCAGGGTTCCCATTTCTCTTGTGTGTATTTTTGATGGCATGCAGAAGTACACTTCCATCGCCGTTGTTTCTCTTGCTAAACATCTAAGACTGTTGAATTTTTGTACTTGAGTGGGATTCTGCAACAAGCCCAACAGAGTTTCATCAAGGTCCCTCACAACATCTCCGGTTTCATCACTTTTTTATTCTTTTGCAGCGCTCGCGGGCCTACAGTAACGGAGGAGCTCCCCGCGGTTGTCATGGTAGTCCCTGGTTTAAAGACGGCAATAGAGCAAGCTCGCTAACAAGTCTGGCTTTAGGCGTTCATACTTTGTAATTCATTTACTTGCGAAACTGGGTCAGTGGTACCACATTAAAGCTAGATTTGTCCTCCTGGCTCTGTCTCACTAAGGAACGCTCGCTTTAGTTCGCAGAGTGAAATAGTGTATGCAAAGGAAGCAACGTGCAGTACAGAGGATAACCAAGGATGTGGTCAAATGAGGTGCTTTTTCTCAGCTGGCAAAAATCAATTTTCGACAGCTAATAGTCTTAAAATGACGATAAGAGGACTGGTTATTTCATTAAGTCCGACATGTACTCTATGTGAGGGCGATCTCCCCAATCAGTGAAGTCAAAAGAACAAAAGAGCACAGTGGAATGATGGGACTCAACCTCACATGAAAGAGAAACACCACCTAGAGATGGGGGACCTTTTCTCATTCTGCAGTTTGCTGTGTCAGCAGTTTGGGGGCGGCAGCACAATTGAATGGCTTTGCAAGGACCCAGTCAAGCATCACAGTGCTGACAGAGGGGAAAAAGATATAACGATAATAGATAAAGTGTTCATATGAAGAATTAATGTCCTTGCTTTACCTTGATCGATACGTGAAGGATCACACGGGCTCCTGCGGAAGTTCACTGAGCGACTGACAAGCTTCATTTAATTAGCAGCTGTTGGACAAGGCGGGGATCTTTGATAAATACAGACACTTTGTGATTGCAGGACAGCTTAAAACAACATTCCTGTACAGCAGCGGTATTAACGAAACTCCACAGGGCACTTTAAAGGCTTTGCTGTAGCTTAGTCGTAAAAATAGCCGGTATTAAAGCTGCAGCTCCAGCTATTATTGATTGATACAGTGATTTTTTGGTGGTGGTGGTGCCGGGGGGATTTTATGTTTAATACATTTACAGTTAATCAATGTAGTGCTGAAACAAACAAAAAAACAAACCATTAAATTGATCATCAAAAATAATCATCAACCATTTTGATGATCAATTAATCGGTAAAAAAATCATCAAACCCACGGTGGTTCCAATTACTTAAATGCAAGGATTGGTTTCGTCTTGTGCATAAATTGTTTGAACAGTTAGTTTTATTTTTTTTAAAAAGTGAGCAATATGATATGACTGCTTTGGGGTTCCATTCTGACATTTATATGCCGTAATTTATCGATTAAATGAGAAAATCATTAATTGTTTTTCACAAATTAATCAGATGATTAACCCTTTATCAACAACATCTTTATTCTAAAAGCACAAAGTGATAGAAAATAGTAAATGAAACCCTTTATAATTTTAAAAAATAAATAGCTTGTCAGACCAGTTGGCACCGATCCATGTTCAATTTATAATATAGAACAGAGAAAACTGGACGTTTTCATATTTGAGATGCTGGAACCAGGACATTTCTGAAAGCTTTTCTTGATAAATGAAATTTATCGATTTATTCTTGAATACCATGAAGTCATCATCAATTTTTTTTGGATAAATTCTTTTTCCTAAGTCAGTTTCTGTACTACCTGTTATAAAACGGCTGTTGTTAGTTCTTATAATTCTGCTGTGTTCAAGCAAACGCTCCACACAGCCCAATTACACATGCATCTGAAATGCACAGGCCTCTCTGTCTCTCGCCACCTCATTATTAAGTGATGAACATGCTGGTTAATTTGCCATAACAAGAACAGCAACTTCTGCTCACTTTTACTCCACACAGGCGACAACGCTTCACTGTATTGTGTTTATTCTGGCTGAAACGGTGAAGCATTGTTTGCCTCTTACACACGTAATATCCACATTCTCCACCCTAACAAGAGTTTGACCTTCCAGTGTGAAGCACCCTGCCCAATCCTGAATCTTAACTCTCTCCCGCTTTCTGAGAGATTTCGAAACTTCCTTTTTGGGTCTGTCTGGCTCTCCAGATGTTTCCTGAACCCACCGTGTTCCCAACTCGCTCCCCTCCCCTGTGGTGAAAAAGGCACAAGAAGGACAGAGAATGAGGGACTCTCTCATTCACTCTGATCGCGGCCAACTCTCACGCAGAGAGAGACACCTGGAGTCCAACAACTGATGAAGTCTTTTCTGTGTGTGCCTGTCTGCTACAAAGCTGACTAAGGCATACAGCGACCGGGATTTTGACTTTGGCTGCACTGACAGAAAACTCACTAACTCACCTGGACTGCATGCACGCAAGCTGTACATTCACACATTTTTGAACCGCTCGCCACGTTTTAAGACTTTTTTTTTTGAAAGAGCTCACTTTTACGAGACCTGCAGTTCTGCCTGGTGGGAAGCCAGAAGTTTGTCAGCTGGCAATGTCGTGGGACTGTGGCCTCAGGTACATGTTCTCCGTGTCCCCTTCGCTGCAGCAGGGCGGCAAGTGCATCCTGCACGACAAGGAGGACCTGTCCAGACTGGAGATGGTTCAGAGACTGGCCAAGGATGGATGTCGCTTCCTGCAAAACCACAGCAAAGCTCCAGAGAGGACGAGCGAGGTGAGACATCCTCGACATGTACTGCTGCAAACTTTTACAGTTACTCTTCACAACTAAACATGCAAATGCACACCGTAGAAATGCAGCTACGGTGTGACGTGCTGCACTCTTTGATTCATGTCACAGAAATGTTTGGCTTTGTCAGGGTGAAAACATCAGACAAGGTGCTTATCAGACAGTCCTCTTTTTGTAATTAGAAACCCTACTCATGCTTTCTCCTTGAATATTCCATTAGATTCACTCACGGCTGTGCTGTTTTGTTTTTCGCTGCTGTTTTGCAAGCGTTGTGCCTAACCATCCTTTCTCGCGCTCCCTGCAGTGTTCCATTAATCAAACTGATGTTAATTGTAGTCTGTTTTTATTGGCCTCCATACATTCCATTATGCCTCTGCTCTCGCTGTAGATCAGTGTTATCAGTTAGATTATGTGCAGATTACAGAATGTTTCTTCATTAAATGGAACAAAACGGTGTCTAGACAGCCACAAAAGAGATCTAAGTATACTGTTCATCGTAAATTAACATTATAAAGGCGCTGTATTTGTTGAATTCGACATTATCTGGGTTTGTTTACAACAAAAGTGAGTACACATGTTTGCAATATTATTTAAATGCATGATTGTTTAATGGTTAAAAACTCAATCAACTCTCAATAACTGCATTATTGGTAGGTTGACAAGTAGAGTGTTCCTGCTTATGAACAATTTTAAAAAAAAAAAAAAAACTCTCAAATGACGAGATTGAGGTAGAAACTCATCACAAGCATATGTGATCAGTGACACACAAGTCAGAAACCTCCAGTCATTACAGGTACATTGACGACACCGGTGATTTTCAATTAGCCTAAGTGTCTGGACGTGGTTATAAAATGACCCGTGAACATCAGAACATGCTCAAGTTCCTGGATAGACACAGATCTGCACGTCTGCATCATTGCAATTGTTAGAGGAATCGAAAGATCTGGTTGTGAGTCTTCACAAAAATGTAAAAAGGATCCAGGAAGATCAGTAATCAACTAAAAATCCGTGGAAACAAAGCTGCAGCAGTAATCAGGAGGTATAGAATGAGTCATAGTACCACTCATCAGAACAGCAGAACACCACGGACAGTGAGCTATTTGTGCACGGTAGGTCTAAAAAAACAGTCTGGCGGGTACTTAAGACTTGGCACAGGAGTGAGCAGTGGAAATTAGAGTTGCTGTGACAGCTCAGACAGTGTGAAGGACAGTTCATAATGTCTATGGACGGCATCCAAGAAAAACACCCTTGCTTACCGTTCAGTACAAAACTACAATATGACACTTTGCTAAAGGACATGAAAAGAAACCTGATGATTACTGGTAGTGTCATTTTTGGTCAGATGAAGATAGATTTGTTTGGTGTGGACCTGGCCACAACGACCACAGTGAATGCATAGTCCTGACAGTGAAGCACAGGGGTGGGAGTGTGATGGCACGGGGCTGCCTGAGTCCTAAAGGTGTTGGGAGATGACATCTATAGATGCATCGTGAACGTCCGTGGATGTGCTAAAATACCGGCTGACACGATGACTCCCAGTCTGCAGAAGTTTGGCAAAAGAGAAATATTTCAGCATGATTCTGATCCAAAGCAGCAGACTGCCAAAATCACACAAGAGTTTCTAAATAAGGAAAAAGTGAAAATTACAACCTGGCCTCGACTCCAATTTAACACCTTTGGGGGAATTTTAAAGAGGTAGATTGAGCGACACATTGCCTCAGCTAAAAAAAAGCCACTGGAAAAAAAAAAACAACAGTCTCTGAAGAACTGCAGAATATCTCACGATTAATTTGTGCTACACTGGTATTATCCATGCCAAGGAGGATTAAGTCTGTCATCAGGAATAAAGACGGGCATAAGAGAGTGTTGAACGACATGAAAAATGTGGATGTCAGGCGTGAAACACGTACAGATTTCTGTTGCATTAAGTTCCTACTGTGGGGCTGAATCATTATTACAGTAAATCTAAACTGTTAGTATTTCATTTTACATTACAGCAGATACGTTCCTGTTCAACGTAGAAATCACGTGATTACTGTAACGTGATACACTACAGTCAAAAATAGAATTGGTTTTCTGTATCGCAATAAATCCTCCTTTACACGCTCCGCTAAACACCTCCTGGTCAAAATGACAGTACTACCGATTTTTGACTACGGTGACATACTTTATAGATCCACATCCAAATCCCTCCTCCATGAACTGGACACTAGCTACCACACGGCCATCCGTTTGGTCACTGGTGCCCCCTTCACCACTCACCACTGCCCTCTGTACAGCCTGGTTAACTGGCCCTCTCTTCACTCCCCCAGGCAAACCCATTGGTATATGTTCATTTATAAAACTATCATAGGTCAAACTACCTACGTTCACTGCTCATCACCCGTCACATCAGCCGCTCACTTCGCAACCTCATCCACCTCCTCATCCCCAAAGCCCGCACTGTCTTTGGCCGCCATTCATTTCAGTTTTCTGCAGCTTTCGACTGGAACCAGTTACAAAAAAACAGTCAAACTCAGTGTATTTATATCTGTATCTTCTTTTAAAAATATGGCGAAACAACTTTTTATCGAGTCCTTTACCTGCTTTTAGTGTATTTTATCTTCAAAGACTTTTATTGTCACGTTTTGTTTGTGCATTCTTTTCTTATGGATGTATTGTATTTTCTGCTCTGTGCTGCCTCTCGGCCAGGTCGTTACTGTAAATGAGAACCTGTTCTCAATTAACCCACCTGGTTAAATAAAGGAAAAATAAAATAAAATAAAATACAATTTGGAATAATTTTGCACTCACTTAAGCAGCTCCACTTACACCTGTCACCACTGAAAATGCAGCTACAGATGCTGCACGTTAACTTCAACCTCTGCCTTTTTTTAAAAAAAAACATGACATCATCTGCAAATTAGCTGCGTAGGAGCCGCCTGATTGGCTAACCTCATGGTGGGCTCTGCTTCTCCCTTCCTGCCAGCTGTGTCTTAAACAATTGCAGGAAAAGTTGACGCAGGCGGCCGGACCACCACGCCAAGACATTGTGTGGTTTCAGGGTGGATTCCCGAACGTCACTTCTTCTCTGACCTTTTCTCCACCACAAGGCTCCTTATCTTGGCTGGTATTCAGAAACAACCTGTCACCTGCACCGCTGAGCCGCTGCTGTATGGTTAAATGTTAGAGCTACATAACAACAATGCTCTATTTTCATTCTGTTGTTTTGGTGACATACTCTCTACGCACCGAGCTTCTCATGTTCTAAATGTTAAAAAACACGAGCACACAATAGCACATGTGAGTGTGTGTCGCTCATAATCCCGGCGATAATGGCCAGATATGGTGACCTTGCATACTTAATACTCGACATTATGCAGACACATGAATATTACGTGAGATTATCTTGGGAGTGTGTCTCGATTATAGGACGTTTTAAAGTAATCCAGGGATGCGACAATGCACATACTTTGTTACATGTGACTCATACAGGATATCTAAGCTCGGACATCAAAGAGCTCAGAGATCAGTTAAGTCCCAGCTGCTGGAAACAGGAACGCTTAATATACAGTTTGTTTGCTGAAGTGTGTTTCTGGTGCAGGCAGATCATGAATGTTGTGCAATCTATTTTAATCTTACTTCATAGTTCATGTTTAATTTTACTTTAAATTAAGCTATAAATATAATAGCTTCACTTCCCCGTTGTTTCAGATTCTTTAGGGGCGCACGATCATCTGCTGTTTTCTTACATAATGATATGAAATCAGCTTTATATTCATTCACTGTGTGTATCTAATTACAGCACACAGCTACGGCCGTCCCCAGCCACACCATTAAACTTCACAGGAAGCAAAAGAAAGCTTCTATGCAAATATTTTACATAACATGCATGCACTCTTGTGTACTGTATATAATCAGAGCTCTCACAGTAAAAAAGGAATTTCGCTGTTGGAGATGATGAAGCGCATCTGCATCAAAGGGTTCTTTGAAAGCAACACTAATGTGTGAATTTTTTTTTTTTCGTCTCCCGCTTGTGAGGAATTAAGACAATTCGGCACCCTGTCAAGCCTTGACACCTTCCAGGTCTCTTTAAGTGTTTCATACCATGCGTGCCAGACCTGCAGCAGCAGACAGAGAATGTCTCCCCAGACAGCAGAATGCATCTGGAACGCCTAGAAGTGACAGTGAGGCTTTTGGTGGGACGTGACTTTCTGCAGAGGCCCGATAAGTCACCTTAGCTGTTACGGTGTGGATGTTGGGGGGGGGATATAAGTAACTGTGAGGTCAGCTGGAGGCTACAGTCTGAACTGTGTGGTTCTGTCTCATTACAATCATCCACTCTAGTGGTCTGATTGTTTTTTTTTGTGTTGGGACACCGGTTACCACAAAGTCCAGCGCATGCCGAGCAGTAGCCTGGAGCAGCTGAGGCAGGATCAATAATTCATTGTGAGGAAAGGTTTGTTTGCTGTTTGACCCATTAGTGATACGCCGGGACGTTCTGTTAATCACAGATAGGAATTCACCTCGCGTTACTGTCACGCTTAGTGAGACAAAAACGGTGCTCTGGTATTACCAGGGCTGCGATTAAGTTTATGATTAATCAATTGTTTGGTCAATAAAATGCCAGAAAATTATGAAAAATGTACAAGATGATGCCCTCAAATATCCTGTTTTGCACAGAACCCAAAGATGTTCAGTTTTCATCACAGTGGAGGAACAAAACCAGCAAATACTCAACTTTATGAGCTGGAATCAGACAATTTCTTCTTGAAGGGTGTCCCTATAGCTCACCTAGTTGAGCGAGCAGCCCATGAACAGGGGCTATAGTCCCCCGATACAGGGGTCGTGGGTTTGACTCCCACTCGTGACCCTTTGCTGCAGATCTCTCCCCATTCTTTTACCCCCTTTCCTGTCTATCTCCACTACTCTAAAAAAAAAAAGGCAAAAAAAAAGCCTAAAAAAATATATTAAAGAAAAAAAGTTCTTCTTGAAAAATACTCAAACTATCATCCATCCATCCATTGTCTACATCATACATACACCGCTTAATCCTCACTAGGGTCGCGGGAGGGCTGGAGTCTATCCCAGCCGACTTAGGGTGAAGGCAGGGGACACCCTGGACAGGTCACCAGTCTATCACAGGGCTACACTTAGAGACAGACAACCAACATTCACACCTACGGACAATTTAGAATCACCAATTAGCCTCAGCATGTTTTTGGACCTTGTGGGAGGAAGCTGGAGAACCTGGAGAGAACCCACGCTGCACGGGGAGAACATACAAACTCCACGCAGAAAGATCCCCATGCCCCCACCGGGACGCGAACCGGCAACCTTCTTGCTACGAGGCAACAGTGCTACCAACTGCGCCACCCTGCAGCCAAAAAAAAAAAATTAAAGAAAAAAAGTTCTTCTTGAAAAATACTCAAACTATCTCGACAGTTGATAATTAATTCAATAGTTGACAATTGATCGATTCATTGATTTATTGTTGCAGCTCTGTTTATCAATTTTATGAACACACGTACAGCAGAAACACCAGTGCTAATCAACGCTGGCTTATCTTTTTGGGAATTTTCTTCGTCCGTTCTTTTCCTCATGCTTCTAAACTCACATCAAACTCTAAGATCACAGGACAATACAGTCTCTGCAGCCCTCACAGGCTTCATTACATGAGAGCTTTTTCTGTTTGTATGCATGTGACTATGTGGAGTTTGTTTAGGGAGGGGAGGGGTCATTTGATTTTAAATGTTGCTTAGAGGCATAAATCACAGCACTAAAGGACCTGACAGCAAACATTGCAGTTAATAGCTCTTTTTGAACATCTCTGCTGCTTAACTGTGCAACACTAATACTGCAAACGTGGTCCAGCTAGAGACGGACACGCCTTTGTTATATGAGATAACGTATTTAGGCCATGTAAATACCTTAATTTGAGTGTGTGTAGTGCATCCATGGCAGGCCTGTTTGTCCATATACGTCCGCAGACCACTGGTTAGCGTTAATGTGCCAGGAAGTCATGCTTAACTGAACGACCCAGGATGCCTCTCTGCAAAAGGCAATTAGGGTTGCAAACTGCAACCACTTCCAGTCTGTCTGCCCGGCTAATTGCATGAACAGAGGCTTGTGTTGCATTGACTGATGGGTGAGGAGAGGCGGGGGGGAGGGGTGCAGAGAGAGGGGGTTACTGATGCAGGACGCGTGCAACATAAAGTGAAGTCCTCGTTAAGACCAATATCCCTGATCCAGACCCTCCGTTGTCGAGCTGACACCACACATTATACTTTACAGACAATGCAGCAAAAATGTAAAAAAATTAAATAAAATAATAATGTATAGGATTTTTAAATTTTAAATGCTTAACAAAAATAACTGAATGTCTAGACTGTCTGGTTATAGTATGAAATATGAAATGACAGTACAAATTAAGCTGGAAAACAAAATACAGGTACTTTTGTATTTGTTAGACATTTAAAACCTAAACACAGGTGCACTGTAAAAAAAAAAAAAAAAGAAATCCTGTAAAAAAAACAAACTGAAAATCTGGTAGCAAGGATAAAAAAAAAGAACAAAAAACATTAGAATTCAAAGAATTTAGATTTTAACACAGTAAAACAAATCACACATTGTAAAATCACAAATTAAAAAACAAAAACGTCAGGATTTTTACAGTGTTGGCCTGTTTTTTTTTGCAATCAATATGTAAATTAATACTTTTTTCTGTGATCTTACTAGATAGATATTATCTGTATTCAACAAAACAGGAGAACATTGTTTAAATGCATTAATTATTTTTTTTTATTTTTTAGTGTGAAAACTACTTCTACAGCACTTTTACTGTCTTTCGCTAAGTTTTTGATTTGTAATGTGATGACTGGGCAACTGTGTGACGAAGTAAGAAAGTGAAACTGAAAGTCATGAATTCATCATTGGTGAAAATTTGGCTGCAAGAGTTCGAGTTACTTGTATATTGGTAAATGGTATATAGCTCTTCTATCTAAGGCGCTTTACGATGCGTTTCTCTTTCACACACGTTCATACACCGGTGGTGACAGACCTGCCATGCAAGGTGCTGCCTGCCATCAGGAGCAACTTCAGGTTCAGTGTCTTGCCCGAGGACACTTCGACTGTGGAGGGGATCGAACCACCAACCATGTGATTGGAAGACAACCCGCTCTACCACCTGAGCCACAGCTGCTCTTGTAGGTGACTTAGATAGAGTGAAATAGTGTGATTTAATAATCACACATTGAAAAAGAACTGATGTCCATCACAGTTTGGGTCATTTTTTGCATTAAATGTGTATATTCATTTTTGATTTTTGTGTGTTTTTTCTGGATATTATGTGTGATTTAGAAAAGCATATTTTTTTAAAACCGCAAATTGATTTGGTTTTTAAAAAAACAGTTTTAAACACTTTTTTTTTTTTTTTTGGTGGGAAAAAAAGAAAATACTTGTGCAGCACTTTTACTGTCTTTCACTGAGGTTTCGATTGGTAATGTGATGACTGGGTGACACTCTTACTGTGTGACTAAGTAGGAAAGCGAGAAATGAAGCGAAACCGAAAGATAGCAGCCATGAATTTCTCATTCACAGCAGCTCACGGCGGTCATATGATGAGGAAACGCAACCCGGCACAGCTGAACCCTGAACTCCTAAATTCATTGTTACCACGGGCGGTTTAACCACAGCACAGCTTGAAAACAGACCGCCCCCCAGACACCAGCTGTAATTTAATAGGCTCTGCACATAAATCAGTAATTAAAATATGTGAGACTTTTATGTTAATCCCTGAATGGACTCGGCCGATAAGGACTGAATAATGATATATGGAAATTGTCTTTCATTTACAGTGCTGAGGCTTTGACAGAGCATTATGATGGAAATCAGCGGTGATTTGTGTGAGTGGGAGAAAGTACAGGGGGGGAATCTCCTTGGTGATAACGTGCTCTCCCCTCCTCTTGTGATTCTCCCTGCAGCCCCGGAGTGACGAGGCAGTCCGCTTGTGTCTGAGGGAGAGGGGCCACGATGTGCTGGTTCTCCAGAGAGTGTCGTCACGGCAGCCAGCCCTCTCTGCGTCGTCGGCGAGGGGAGGAGGGGGGAGAGAGGAGGCGAGGAGCAGGAGGTAAGCCTCTCCACTCTCCCCCCCACCTCCCCATCTAGATTCCCTCCCTCTCCCACTATCTCCCTCAGCACTCTCTCCCTCTCTCATCATTCTGCTTCCCCCTGTCTCTGCGGATCACACACACACTCGGCGCTTGCATCACAACTCCCCTCACATACACTGAACACATACAAGTGAGCAGCATGGGACTGTGAGGCTCTGCTGGCAGCTCTCCCATTCAACTGATCCAAGAGTCAGTCGCCAGCAGACTGGGAGATCTCAGTGGAGGGACAGACAGCAGCAGCAGCATCAGCAGCAGCATCAGCAGCAGGACTACCGGGCTGTAGCAGCTGCAGGTGGACGGATGGATGGATGGATGGATGGGTAAAGGGGTCATGCAGCAGTAACCACGGCAACGTTGCCGGCGTAAGGGCACGGGGACTCCGCAAGGATGGGATCTCGGCCGCAGCCCAAGAACCTGCGGCAGGAGGAGGGCAGGCTGCTGCACGCCGCCTTGGTGGAGCAGGAGGAGGACGAGGAGGACGAGGAGGGCTCCGAGGAGAGCAGCAGCGACGGCACCAGCCGGGCAGAGCCGGTGACGGTGCCCACCTTTGACGTCCCCTACTTTCGCTACATAGACGACGAGGGGACGGAGGGAGAGGAGGAGTGGAGCAGCAGCCGCTCTCTGTCCTCTATTGAGGAGGACTCGTCCACTGACTCTGTTGTGTCCGACAGGTACGTGGTCGTGTCGGGGACGCCTGAGAAGATCCTGGAACACCTGCTGAGTGACCTGACACTTGATGAGGAGCAAGGCACCACGCAGGGCAAAGAGTCAGGTCAGTGTGCCACTTTGATGTCAGGAATTCTCATCCTTCTCGTCCTTATAAAAGCTGAATATTTAACTTTAGGAGTGTTAAGGTGGGCTGTTTATGCAGCCCCACGCATGTTTTTCTCTGCTTGTGAAAGATAGATAGGAGGAGAAAAGAACTTTATCCCCTCCCCACCCTCTCTCTCTCTAGCAGATGAGCTGGGACCAGCAGCCCCCTCTGGGCAATGATACAGTGCGAATCGTGCCAAGTTTGAATCTGTTCATTTAAAAGCCTTTGACAGACATAAACGATCCCCCTGTTCTTTGAGCGAGGCTGTATCGTAGCGTCTGACATGCAGTCCAGCCTCGCAGCGACGACAAATCAACACATTTCCTCTCATCCCAGCAGGTACTAGATAATGTGACACTGTTGCCAAGGCAGAGGAGACGCTCTGTTGCTGAAGCTGGAGAGATGGGCTCGATGAGAAATGATGACTGAGAGCACGGGAGAGGGGGGAAGAAGAAAAAAAGAAAAAAAAAGGAGGAACAATGCAGGAAGAGAAAGTGGAAATAAGCGGGGAAAGAATAAAGATGCAGATTGTTTTTTTTCCGGGGAGGTGGAGGTGGTCACAGATGATCTCTCATCAGGATGGAAGCAGGCAAACCACATAGCAGAGATCATTACTCATTCTGAAGTGGAAGTGAATGAAATTGATCTAAATGTGCTCTCAGGAGTGCAAGATGGTGCATTTTACATGCGCGGGGAGTTATATTTTACCTTGAATCGGCTATTTTAATCGCCTTATTTGAGCATTTTAATATCGATGTGAAGTAAAACATGAAGTTAATCAGTCCCGTCATACTTTCAGTGAGTGTATTTGCCCATATCTTCGCTAACTTTTGCTCAGCTCAGAAGGGCAGTACAGGGCTGCTGAATCACTCACCATTAGTGCATCTTGAAATAAGCGTATTGAAGTTAATCCTCCATAGGGAACAGTGGCCAGAGCAGGATGCTGAGCGACGTCGCAGGGTCAAAGAGCCGGAGACCTGAGGACGACAAGTCCTGAGCAGCAATTGATCTGCACTCAGTAATGTTTAATAGTCTGACTCCTGCCGGCCTTGGGTCTCTCTCAGTGTGAAGCTGCGTTTGCTCCGGTGTTTCTGTCCTTGGAGGTTCAGCCGAGCAGAAGCATGATAGCATGGGAACCTTGATTTCATCAAAAAGAGATTTATATGAGCATCCAACATCATGGTGCGTCTCTCAGGGACGGCTCAGAAAAACTGTGCAGCGACATGACTGATGTCTGCTGCAGATTATTGATGTGTTTGTGACTTACATACAGCACAGCGCATTAGAAAAAGCCAATTTTATCTCATTATGGCAGCGCTTGCTCCCATATTTGCTCAACATTAAGAATGCAGAGGAGCCTTTCTGTCTTCCTGCAAGAGATGGCACTTTTCTGAAAAATCGCCACGGGCACGTTTGAGGAGAAGCAAACCACTGCAGCAGTCTGTGCTGTGTGGATGTGTTAGCGTTTCCTTAGCTTTGTGGGTAGCATTCACGAGTGTTCAGCACTGCCTTCTTTCCTGTGCCCAATCTCTGAGTGCAGCTATTGATTCCTGCTCTGCACAAGCTCACGCACTGCACACTGCCAGCTCTGAAAAACATGTAAAGGAACATTTGTGCTCCTAATGAGAGGATGTTCCACCTCTTTTAGCGGCGCACCATGTGGAGGGATGTTGATGCTCATTTGTAGTCACAAACACACGCCACATTAAGTGAAAGAAACGGAAAATCCAAGCTCTCTCAATGCTGAAAGATGATGGTGGGTAAGTAAGTGACACACTGACATGCTTGTTTCAAAGGTGGCATTGATCAGTTTTATAAGTGCTTATTGAAATGCTAAAAAGGGATTGACTGACAAGTTGATTGATTTCACAGTGAACAGCGGTGAGTTAGTTCAGTAAATCAATTCTGTACTTCCTCTGAAAAGAATTTGTTTTGGTTGGTGGTGCCTGAATTGAGCAGAATTAGTATTTTTCTACATCCTACATGCACTTCTTCAATTCAGCTACATGGATGGCAACTCAGAATCCTAATAAATCAGCCCAATAAAGTGTTAAACTTTATCTCTGAAGCACAACTCATGAATAAATGTCTTTTCCTCTGCAAAATTGTTTATGTTAAATCTTTATCCAGTAGGGGAGGCCCCCTTTCTGTTTTTTATTTTTTTTTTTGCACTGTTGCCAAAAAAAACTTTAGACTTTAGGTCAAAATTAAATATTTATTCTGTTTTCCCAACTTCAAAAAACTTGCAAACTGTACAGCCTGGGGTTTATGTGAGCTCATGAGAAAGTGGTTCAGTAGGATAGCTTGGAGGAAACACGGTGAAGGCAGGTAGAGCGCGGCACGTGGGCGGGTTGTCGGTCCTTCTCCCGTGTTGTTTACCGTCTTTGTGTTGAGGTGCGTTACTGTATTCTTCATGGAAGCTGCGTGAGCGTGGAACCTCTCATAAGCAATGAGTGATGTATCCACAGCTGCTCTGCGCGGATTAACATAATGATGTCAGGGAGTCCTGCGGACCAGAACGCACACAAAGGCCCGGGGAAGGCAGTGTGAAATTAAAGGGAAGAATTTACAATTCTGGGTCTGAGGCACACTTACAGAGGGGTTGAGAGGAGGTTGGCCCTAATAGGATTTGTAAAGCTTTTCGCTTGTGGCTGGGCATTACGTCTGGGAGTTAGTGTCCTTTTTGCTTTCTTTTTATACCTTCACATTTTTTCTCCATTGACAATTCCTGAATTGCACTTTCAGAGCTTGAACAACTGCTCATATATTAATCAAATATTCCTCCAAGAAAGAGATTTGTGTGTGATTTCTAAACGAGTTGCCCTCAATCTTTTATCATTAAAAACTCAATATGGTGACACTATTGGCGATCTGCTCGACCAGGTTGATTTAATCCATTTATCGCAACAGATTTCCATGCGTAACCTTGGGAAAGGAATCATAGAAGGAAGGATGCAGTGGCAGAAAGCACACATTAGGATGATGGCTAAGCAATATCAGATGGCTTCTCCGTGAGCGGGATAATAACAGTGAAAAACACAGACTTCATCAGAGGTCAGAGAGAGTCACCTGACACATTAACATTACTGGCTTATCACCGCTGATACAGGCTGCGGTGGCCAACGTGTGAAAGTGAAGATAATGCCAGTATAATGCCAGTAAAGGCTTGTTTGAACTTGTTGGAGCAAAATGGAACTGAAAATTCCTCATTGACCGCGGAGAACAATGTGGCCCCGCGTTGTGTTGGTGTCGGCTTAGCGCTCGTTAACTGATGTTTGACAGTAAAGAATGAGCTCTCCTTCCCGTGTTATTAAGGTGCAATAGGAAAAATGAAAACCATCTCAATTAGAAGTGGAGCCCTCCTGTATGCTCAGCTCAGCAGACATTAATCATGCAGTCGTGAAGGTCACAAGTGTACCTGCCCCTCAGCATCCTGTGGAACAGAGTCAACCTAATGAGGCCGTGTCTACAAGAGCTTCCCCTCCTCAGCGTGTCGATTCTAAAGTTTTATTACTTAAAAATTGCACCATTTTTTTTTTTTTTGCCCATTATCAATAATGCATTTCTCTTTGCAGATACACTTGTGGATGACTTTCTGCTCACCTACCCAGTATTCATGTCGACCAGTGATCTATGTCAAGCTCTGCTGGGGCAATATCCTTGAACATAAGCAAATCTATAGAAATAACTACACATGATAACTCTTACATGTGAATCCTGCAGGCAAAAATAGCTGTTTCCTACCAACACTATTGGCTCAGAGCTGCTCCTCTTCACTCAGCTGTGTTTATCCACCTTGCCACCTATCCCTAAGTCAACACGTAGCCCCGCTCTGTTCATGCCGGATTGTGCTGCCGCGTTTAACGCCAGCAAATACACAGTATCCCACCCATCCTTCTGTTGCTGAAAGCCTTAACCCAGTCCCACCTATTGCACCAAGCGCCACAGAGGCAAAGAGGACCGGAAGGAGGCTCTGGAGAGGAAACAGAAACTCCTGCACCTGGTGTCGCAGTGGATGTCTCTCTGCAAAGACTTCCTGAGAGAAGACGAGCACGTCAAACTCTTCATGAAGGTAGGAAACGCAGGGAACACGGAAAAGGGCGGAAAGTGGGTGGGTGAGCTTCATACAGGAGAAATGAAAACTGACATTTCCTTCCAGACTTTGTATCGTTACGTGTTGGATGATCTCTACGAGCACCCAGCCCTGGAGAAGGATGTGGGGGAGCTGCAGAAGCTCTACCAGCTGCACCGCAGACAGTAAGTGACCAACTCCATTGCAGATGCAGTAATTCAATACATACATACTTTTTTAAAAAATCCATAAAAACCGATCGTGTCTGGGTGTGTACAGTAACCAGTACGACTGCTGGAGGTCTGAAAGGACGCAGAGACACTCGCTGATCTCTGAATACAAAGACAGAGCTTCTTCTCTGCTTGAAGTCTTTCTTTAGTTTCTCATCAATGAATCCATTCAGAAACTGACAAGTAATTGCAGTGTCCTGGGGTGTTGTGCTCGGAAATATGAAGGTCACTGAGTTCTTTATCTCGAATCTGATGAAAAAATGGAGGAAACACAGCTGTCAGAGATGTTCCACGTCACTTGCCATGTGTGAATTCCACCAATAAACAACACAAGAGCGTGCATAGCGTACTTTTTGATCCACCACTTGTTTACTGGACTCTATTTCAAGCCAGCTGACCATGAATGGTGTCAAACCCACGAGCATAATCGCGCATCTGTGTATAAAAACACAGTGATACACATCAGTGTGGCTTCAGACTTGTTCAGTCATCAAGCCATTATGCAACGGAGTCCATAATCTGAACAGAACGTACAGTATCAGTACCATCCTTTCTATATTCATCGTTACTGTTTTGTCTCTTTTAACAACATAAAACTATTTAACTAAGTTTTACATAAAGATTGACAGTGCTTTGCAGTTTCATAAAATAGCAAAAATATATTTCACTTGTCAACGACGATAACCAAACAGTAAGCCATAATATGTACATCAGAATTTATCTGCTTTCAAATTGCCTAAAGTTGCTGTAAATTCATTTACAAACAGCATCTCTTAAAGATTCCAGCAATTATGCAGCTGATTCCACCCAACAGGGGCAGCGCACTAAAACACCCTTTTTCCGGCATATGGGAACAGAGAACAGGAATAAATCCTGGCAGCGAAGACAACAGCTTCCTGTACGTTCTTGGCTGATATAGATCCGTATATGAAGGAAGCAGACTAAAGATAGCTTTATTAAAAAAAACAGAACATGCAAATGACTGAGTCTGCGTGTACACAAGCCAGACCATCCAACAGATAAAACAGATTGGATAGAAGATTTAGGATCGATAATAAATCTCAGTGCTCTGTAGTCGACTGGGTCCAATGCATGCAAGCATCAGAAGAAGGCACGTATGTATAACCCTGCAGTGGCAAAAAGGTGATGGCAACACTTCTACACTTGATCATATAGCCCTGACAAGAGGTGATGCATGGAGGCACAGATTAGATTGTGCATTTGAGCACACTACCAGTTTTGCTTTGCCAGTCTTCAAAACAACTTTTAAATCATGCCAGCTGCAACTGATAAAGAGTCTGATTTAGTGTGGCAGTACATCACAGTGTCATCTGCATAAAAGTGTAGACAAACCTTTTATAGTGAGATGTATAGATTTTCAGTTTGGGACAAATAAAAAATCACCTGCGTGGGACTGACACACTGAGCTGGTTCTGTATTCACACAGACACATGCACACGTGTAAAAAGAAAATGAAATCAAAATGTAGCTTATCAGAGAATGCAATACTGCTAACTGGTTTGTAAATCCAATAAGGCTCTTGTTATTGCAACGCTAAATGCTAATGTGCAGTGAGGGACCAAAGTGTGCAGTGTCTTTATGAAATACATGGACGCTTGGGTCTCATAATGTGGTAATCTGCTGCTCTGCACGCTGTGGAAGCTACATACGACAAACAATAACAATGTGCATATAGGCAATTATATGTGTATATACATGTGTGCATAGAGATATAGATACAATAGAGACATGCATGCATACGGGCACCTATGGTAAACAAACAACATACTTTCATGCGCACATGGCTGCACAAACTGCTATGTTGCACCAATGTATTATATCAAAATTCAAACGAACAAACCAATTTTTTAAGTCCATGTTCATGCATCCTCAAAAATTCAACTAATACTAAATTTCAAGTGCAGTAAAACTAATTTTCCATGCTACTTATGAGTGCAGGGTATTTTAACACTAACTTATCTAGTTCTGGATATGTCTAATTAGCCTTTAAAGCCTTTAGTATTTCTTGTACATAAAGTGGTGTACATGTTTAGAACTGATCTACTGAATATACACACACAGTTTAAATATCTCATTAAACTTTAATATTAACAATAACTGCAACCTCTGCATAGCTACAGTGTTTGGCTCAGTAACATGATACAAGCATCACATTTCATTTTGATGTTACACAGTAGACCACCATGAGTCACCAGACACACTGCCACACCCGTGTCCCCCCTTTTCCTCCCCTCCCTCATCCGCCAATCAGATCCTCTCCCCTGGGGAAGCTCCAACCTGCTGCCCATTAGAAACCAGTGCAGATAATTCAACCTGCCTCTGCCTTATTCACGCTTCTATCCAGTCCTGTAAAGCAGCGGACTTTGTGTGGGTGGTACTAACTGACACACTCTTCTATTTATGAGCTTTTCACAATCAGGCCCACCCCAGGGGAGGACAAGGTTGACTGCTTTGTGGCAATCTGCTACCGAGTGAAAAAGGTGTCATTTTTTTATAGAAAGAAAAGCCTCCCTGTCCACTTCCATCTGGCCTCTGTGCAAAAGGAAGCTCAAGGCGTACGATTGCTGCACAAAACTCTATCATCACGCGGCCTAATAACTGAATAATTCTGTTTTTTTTTAGGAATAAAAGCGTGAGTCAGATCACACGCTGTGCTTTGACATGACAGTGGGAATCAGGTTTTTCATTAGAGGAGGATTGCTGCAGGCCGGTGAGAGGAGATCCCTGAGGGCAGGCTTTGTGCCAACATGCCTATTGTGATGCAGAGCCCAGTAAAAGCTGAGGGATGATAATGGACACGGGGCTATCCATCATGCTAGCCAGGACTAACCGTTGAGAATGGGGTGATTAAATGAAAGGATCACATTGGAAGGTCTAAAAATCTACAAAGCACTCTAATCTCTCCTTGACACCGAGCTTAAATAATGGACTGAACCCAGCAGAGGAGTATATACTATATATAAACATTCACTTAAACTTGATTATAGACTGAGCGTAGGGTGAAGTCGATCTTGTGCAGCTGCAGCCTCAGGAAATTTAACAGATCAGTTGTTTTTTTTTAGGATAAAGCAAAATGATTATTTGTTTATTGATTTGTTGTTCCTCTTTTATTTTTCCAGTACGGTGGATGAATATTCCCCTCAAAGAAAGGTAAGGAAGGAAAAAATCTTGTTGGCTTTCTTTAGAACATTAAGAAATAAAGGATTCTCCCAAACCTTTACGACTTCTCGGGTGTCGGGGCTATTGTGCTCACATTTCCTCCGAAAGACATTGTTGTGTATTTTGGCTGAAATGTTCAGCGTTTCTCATGGATGTGTGACAAAATCCACGCATTTCCCTTCTCTCAGAGCAAAGCACTTTTCCACCAATTGAGCTTGAAAGAAAACGGGCTGCAGTCCAGAAGCACACAGAGGGAGACCAAGGAAGGTAAGTCGTAAAACGTGTCGTTCTTCACACATTCCTCCCATCATACGCCGTTCCCAAAGTAAGCCGAAGGAGACATTTAGTCTGAAGTGTAGAACAATGGGAGGCTTTCCAGGGAACGAATGAGATGTTTGGAAATGCAAATTCCTGACGTATGAACTCATTTGAATCAGCTTGTGCTTCTTTTAAAGGCCATATTTATCGAAATATATTAGGGGGAAAAAACTGGCAGCACATGATGTAACCCATCATGAACTCTACGGTCAATTCCACACAGTAGGCTGATGAGCTGTGCCTTTCACTTTATTCACTGCTATTTACTGAAACTATATTTATTTCTTTGCCAGTGCTGTGCCAGGTATACATCACCATGGATTCATACCTAAGTATGAGGGTCCACGCCGGGGTGGTGGCCCAGGAGCTGGTGCAGGCAGTGGCGGAAAGGATGGATGTCCCCGACGGGGAACTGGTACTGGTAGCTGTCGCTTACCCTGGAGGTAAATATCATTTTAACTAACCGCCTACAGCAACAAACACACACCCCAAAACTTGTCAGCTGTTTGCTCTTCTGACAATGTTAGACAAAAGCATGTGCTTGCTGTTGTTTGAGAAACATGTGCAGAATCTTAACAACACTGTCTAAACGCCTCCCCAGTTAAAAGGGAAAAGCATTTACACTCCAGTGATATAAAGTCGGTATCTGTTATCGGTGACTGAAGTGACTGGGCTACCTCAGAGTGGAGGCTGGCACAGAGAGCCTTATCTCCAACCACTGATAGCCGCTGACATGCTGCCTGACAGATTTTTAATGGTATTCTGCTGTTAGTGATATGTTTTCCTCCCTGCAGGTAGACTCCTCCTGCAGCCTCAGGACAGAGTTTTCTCCAGTTCTTTACGGTCGGTGGGCCGGCTGCACATATGCAGGAAGGACCTCGGCGAAGTCCTGGTAGGAATATATGCAAAATGTACCTCACATGAAACTCTGGTGTAGAAAGAGTGTCTTAAATCATCTCAAACGCTATGAATAGGAGAGTAGATCTACAAAATTGTTTTCTTCAAGCCCTACTGTAATGTAATGTTAATTGAAATGATATTGTTCCTAAAAATTCAGCTCTGTGGATCAAATGTCTTACTTCAGAATGTGTGGATGAATGAATTCACCTCCTCGCTGCAGCTAAACACTGTAAAACTACACTACACTGTAAAACAATGTGTCATTTTACTGAATATTTCCCCTTTAACTTATTTTGGAAATACACAAACATGCCATGAAATCACAAAAATAGACTGTGAATGTACATGTCAAATGTAAATAACATTAAAAATCTGTAACTGAATAATTACTAAATTATTTATTTTGACTGTGTAAATACAATGGCAAGTTTATTGTAATCTGCAAATATTTTAGATAAAAATATGTTAAATTTCGTTGTTTTTAAACATATATACTTTAAGGAAAGGTACACATGATCTCAGGTAAAATTTAGCTTAGAAAATATATTTTAATTGTGGAAAATTACTGTATTTTTATATTAGTTATTTTTCAGAACCAGCTGTTGAAATCTAACTTTTTTTTTCCCCCATTTTTTTTTAAAAAACAGTATATGCTTCACAGTGCCAAGCTGTAATAGGGAAGTAATTCAGTCAAACAATGTTTAAACCAGAAACTAATTCTAAAGATGAATAATGATACAGGAAGTCCAGCTCCAGGTGGCAGAATTTGTTACTTAGGTTTGTTACATATGAAACCTTAGATGTCTACATCTGTGTTTTTGAGATTTTCATCAATACGCTGCAGTTTCAAGGAGGAAATGCTATAAAATGCATATAAAAAACACCTTATGTACACGATAAAAAGGTAAAAAAGCTGATTTCCACCAGATGAGATCTTTGAAAGCCTTAATATCAGTGCAGTTTGTCTTTAAGTCTACCAGCGTGCAGTAAAGTCTAAATCTTTTGTGCAGTACAACATTAACAGAACAGCTGAGTTCATGCACAGCACTAATAATGTACACTTGTCATGGTTTAACTGTGTTTTTGTGTTTGTTTTCTCTTTACAGAACCCATTCACAGACAACTCAGAGCTGCAGCAGAGAACCGCTCGCATGCTGAGTTTAAACACGTGGGACGTCGCCGTTGCCCTCACCGACTTTGACCTGACAATTTTTGACTCGATGCACGAGGTTTGTCTTATAGCTTGAATGCTTCTTTGCTCAGTATGCCTACGAGGCCTCAACAGTTTAAACGCACAGCGGACATGATGCTGATGGGATCACATGCCCCGGTCTGCTTAACTCCTGAGTATATGCTGCTCTTTGTTACAGCAAGAACTGGTCTACTTCACCTTCAACCGCCACGTTACCAGTAACCACACAACGGCTTTGGAGCTGCTGCTGCAGCGCTGCAATGAAGTCCAGCTGTGGGTGATGACTGAGGTGCTGCTGTGCCCAACGCTCTGCAAAAGGGTCCAACTCATCAAGAAGTTCATCAAGATCGCTGCACAGTTAGTAGCTTCATGCACATCCAGCAGCACTGTGATGGGTCATTATACTGTAAACACACTGGCTCCTCTCACTGTGGGTCCAAGCTACACTTTGAGGGGGGTTTAGATTTCTATGGGAATGCTGCCCCCTCCAGTGGCAAATCAATAAACTGCATCTCCTTCTGTGCTGTTGAGCTGTGCCCCTGGAAGTAACCGAATTGTGTGCTCCATTGATCTTTTATAGCTGTAAAGCTCAGAGGAACCTCAACTGTTTCTTTGCCATCATAATGGGCCTGAACGCTGCAGCTGTTAGCCGCCTCGCTCAGACATGGGAGGTAGGATGATGACCTTTTTTTTTTTTTCTTACAGGAATTATTTTCCATCATTGCTTCCTTTCTATCTGTAGCCGAAAAAAAAGAATTCCAATTTTGTCTCTGCAGAAAATACCTGGGAAATTCAAAAAGCTGTTTTCAGAGCTGGAGACAGTTACAGTAAGTGTGAACACTGTGTAAACCACATACAATAAACTGCACATCTGCTCTTTTATAACATACAGCCATTCCACCGCAAACACAAACCCCAGCCTGAGCGTGTCTGACTGACTTAGACAGATGCTTTTAATTTCAAACATGAGGCGAAACATCAGGGGTTTTAGATGATGATTAGTCTCTAATGTTGCCATAATTCAGTTCTAACAAAGCATGCATGCACAGGCACACACGCTCACCCCCCCCAGAGAGGATTGCACTCATTTGAAAATGTCTTCACAGGATCCCTCGCTGAACCACAAGGCCTACAGGGACTCCTTCAAGAAGATGAAGGCTCCAAAGATTCCCTTTCTTCCTCTGCTACTAAAAGGTACGCTCGTTATTCTGTCACTGGCGCCACTCCGTGAGCGGAGCGGCGCTGTGAGATGTCTCTATTAGGCAGGTTTCTCATGCAGATAACAACACTCTAACTCAAATACCTGTTGGCGAAAAAAGGCAAACAAAGCGCTCGTCTCTTGCAGATATTACGTTCATTCATGAAGGCAACAAGACGTTTCATGATAACCTGGTCAATTTTGAAAAGCTGGTAAGTTCCTGCATCTTTTTTTTTTACAGCATCGCAATCTTCTGCACAGAAAACATATGGCAGCGCTCAATTTGAAATGTTTAATGAGGCTTGTCTTTGTTTGCAGCACATGATAGCGGAAATGGCTCGACTCATCCGGCAGTGTCAGAAAGATCCCATGGGTCTGTATTTAGATCACGCAGCTCTCATTTCACGGTGTGAGATGATCAGGGGCTTCTTTTTCTTTTATACTTCAGCTCTATAATCAGTGATTTAATACCACTTTTAACAAGTGGATAAAGCAGCAGCATCACTCTTTCGTAAGGCACAGAACCAAATCTGTGAACGAATGCAAGTGGCAGATATTTTTAACGGGGATAGCACAATGTCTCAGCAAATGTATGTAGGCCAGGTTGTCTGTTTTTTTTGGTCACTCACTCTTATTGTTTGCAGTCAACACTTCCATCTAGACGTACATGAGAACACATACTCAGTACACTGAACTTATTTTTTAATCTAACTCTCAATCGATTAAATGTCTGGAACGCTTGCTAAAGTTATGATTTTCAAAGTGTTAATAAAGGGACTACAACTTCCATCCATCCATTATCTATACATCACTTAATCCTCACTAGGGTCATGGGGGGCTGGAGTCTATCCCAGTCGACCCAGGGCGAAGGCAGGGGACACCCTGGACAGGTCACCAGTCTATCACAGGGCTACACTCAGAGACAGACAACCAAGCACACTCACATTCACACCCACGGACAATTTAGAATCACCAATTAACCTCAACATGTTTTTGGACTGTGTGGGAGGAAGCCGGAGAAGGGACTACAACTTAAATTACATAAGTTAAGTTCATGTAAGATACTTACTGCAAAGGTGTCCTTGCTGAGATCACGCTGCGTCCATCCAGCCTTTAGTTTCATTCATCTGGTTGCAGGTTCTGGGTCAGTCTTGCTTTCCTTAAAGTAGATTTTTATCCCTACAGTCTTCAAGTGCAAGCGTTAAACCTAAATCATACCAAATAAACTAATAGAAACATGTTCAGATTCCTTTTTTACATACAAAAACAGGTACATTTTTAAATTGTCTATTCACTTTTCAATGACAATAACACATCGTTTTTTGTTTTTTTTTAATTGAGAAAATGTTCTGCAAAAACCTCTGTTGAAAAAATTGAAGTAACTCGATGTACCTCCAGTTCCTTGAGTAAGGCCACCACTTGGTTCTGCCCCATGTCGTACTCAGACTTGTCTTTAAATCAAAGTGATCCATTATATCTGTTATGTAATATGTATGAGAAACATCTACAGTAACTCTTACAATCTTCTAGTTCTTTCTTAGACAGAGAAGTTATAGTGGATGTTGTCATCATAACCATTTTTGTTTCCCCTACAGGAAACGGAATCACCCAGAAGAGCAGCTCAGAGGTGCGAGCCTACGTCGACTACCTTCATATCATCGACAATCAGCAAACTCTGTTCGAACTGTCGCACAGGCTGGAGCCTCGTGCTTAGGGAACAGCTCTTTACTGCTCTGCCCACTGTGTCAGCCGCAACGTCGGATTGCCAAGGAACAACCTGTCGCCGTCTCTTCTATCTATCTCTCAGGACTCAGACGGCCATCACGGGAACACTGCATGATCTTGGCCGACCACAGGAGGGAGCCGTGCAATCAGGAGACCACAAAAGGAGCAAGCGGGAAAAGACGCATCTTTGGTTAAATGCAGAAATGTTTGCAGAGATCTACAACAAGTGTAGCTCATCCAAAGCACCTGAAGGCAGTCACAGCCAATAACGTCCCACTGCAGTGCCACAAGTTTAACTGCAACTTACGCTGCAGCAACAGCAGTTAACAATATGCATAAGTGTAAAGGTCCAAAACCAATGGCTTGTGTCTGCAGTGGAGGAGGCTGCAGCTTCAGGCCCACAATCATAAAACTGCATTTCTAGGACCCTTGTTTGTTGCAATAGCGCCATCTACCGAACTGGCCAATGTGCAACTGATGGTTTTAGGGTTTTTTTCCACCCGATATAATAACTTCTGTCCACATAAATAAAAGTGTTAAAGGTTTACTCAACCTAAATAGTACTAACAAGTTAATTCTATTCAAAACTTTCAAATTAATTGGTTCTAGTTTTTTGGTTTATTCCAACCAAAATACTACCTTCTTTCTTATAGTTTTAATTTTTATACCACCCAAAAAGCACTTTTTAACTAATGAGTTATGTTTGAAAGGTTTATTCCAATGAACCATCTTCTTTCTGTGCAAGTTCTTATAGTGTTAAGGCTTTAACCCACCCAAACAGTACTTTCTAATGGTTGAAAAGGATTACTGTATTCAAATTATTGTATTTTTTTCTGTCTAAATACCTGGTTTCCTAGAAACGCTAACCCACTTTTGGAGTTGTGCTTGCAGTGTTATCTGGCCCAGTTAGATGAAATAAAAAAACACAAGGGTTCTAGAAATGTAATGCTGCAGCCTGTTCTGCTACAGACAGTCCTTTCAGGAGGGACAGGAACGAGCAGCAAAAGGCAAGTCTTAGGATAAATGCAGACATGTTTGCATAGATCCACAAATATGCACCTGAAGGTCAGTCACAGCCGGTGTAATCCAACTGCAGTGCCAGAAGTTTAACTGCTACAACAGCAGCACATGTAATAACTGTGAGTTCAAAACGGCTGCTGCTGTTTCTTTCTTATCCAACAGATGGCAGAGGTTGAGCGCTGAGCTGCTCTAACAGTGAAAAGCTCCCCTTTGTGGAGACTCAGCAGCCTGCAGGTGAAGTGCTTCCATCTAATCAAACACTGTAGAAAACAAATAGCGTGCGAAATTCCTACTCGTGGGGTCTCCTTCGATCCTCACATCCTATTGGCTTATGAATTCTGAATTGTCAGACAGTGTTTAGAGATCCGGCTGCGTCATCGGATTTAACCAAAGAACACTCCGGCTAAGAAATCCTTTACACACACTTAAGTGTTGTCGACACAATCTGCATGTTCTCTGTGCCGGATGTCAGACGTGCCGCTCCTGAAGGAAATCTGTACACCGTATGCACAACAAGCTGATGTCTTACTGAATCAAAAACGACAGAAATAGTGAAAATGATTGTTAAGCATTCAACATTTTCATACATTATTTTCCTTGTGTATTTTTTCATCGCAGAACTCTCTTGCCATGCAGTATTTTTATGACATAACCATGAAGTATTAGATGAGGCGTACAGACCGTATTAGTGCAGGAAACTAGAGGAGAGCATACTGTATTTTGATGGCGTGTGAGTTATAATTATGTATGTCAGTGCCAAATCCCACAGGAATAGTCATTCAAATTGATGCTAATTGCTCCCCTTTCTAAAGTATCGACAAAAGGATCTCCATCTAAGTAGTTGAGCTGTGGACAATCAGTTAATGGAGAAGCAGACCTATGCTGTTACATCTCTTCAAAGGTCTTCAGAGATGAAAAAAAAAAAAAACATTTATTTTCTTGTATTTTCTCAGATGAACCATTTTGGTTTGTGGTACTCAGAGTTTTTGGGTGAAATGTCCCTATAGAGTAATAGCAAAATCAAACACTACAGCACCTTCTGGACACAGATAAGCAGAGACAGAGGAAGAAAAATAGAAGCCATTTGCTCCTGTGCAGTGTGTAGTAGCACTATTGTTATCGGCAGGTTAAAGTTAGGTAAACTTAAATAGGCGTCGTCAAGTGTTGTAGATGGAAAATTGAATTATATTTTTGACATTTTATTTGCCTATTTTGTAATTTTAAAGCCCACAGTCATCATAGCGAGGAAATGCTTTATCTTACTTTCATTTGTATCATCGACAATGTACAGCTGATTCTATTTGTACTGTGTATATATGTTGAAATTCAGGATATGGATATTTATTTGTTTCAGAACTATTTATTTGCTCTATAGACTCACTTATATTTCGTTTTAATTTAATGGGTTATTCTTTTGTACGCACCGTTTTGGCTGGTCTGCATGATATGTCGAACCATGGACTGACCACCAGTGTCAACTGTGCATGCATTAAAATATTTTACATCATCACGTGCTGGTTGTTAGAAAAGATATGAGTTGGTGTCATTCAAAATGAATTCAAAATAGACAAATTTCACATGAACACAATATGCAGACGTGAGTTCCTCGAATGTATTGTCACTAACTTCTCAGGAATTGTTTCTAAAACAGATCAAACACACATGACTCATGGTCAAATCAGTAATAACACAAAGAAATGAAGGGGAGGTGTCGAATGCAGAAAAGTGAGAGAACTTAATAAGCTCAATATGTGAATAAATGTCGGCTCTGACAGAAACACACAGGACGGCACCAGGCGTAATAACATTTCTCACTTCCATGCATTCAGTGCCGGCACAGTTGGTAGTAATTGAAAACGTGTGCGTCTTTTCAATGAGAACAATGTACACGGCTGGATTACCAACTGGGCAAAGCAGGAAAACACCTCAGGGCCCCAGACCCTCAACAGCTCGAGGTCACCACATGGAAAAATGATTTGTGAGGCTCTAGGGCAACAATTGTGTTATCTTGAGGCTCCATGCTGTACAGGGATCTTGAGTTAAACTGTAGTT